ATGGTCACATCTGTGTTTAAAATAGCTCATTAATTTTTGAATTCAAAGTTCAAAGTCTTTACCATGACCCACAGGACATGACTTCTCACTGCACAGCAGTGTACTCTGGCAACACTGGTCTTTCAGTTTGCTGAATGCTGCTGTCTGTCACTCTGCGTAAACAAGCTTACCTCACCACTCCTAGCTATTTCCCTGTATCTTGCTAACTCCTCCCTTCCTTTTACTTCATCCATCAGTTCCTTAAGGAACTCCCCTGCCCTTTGTGACTAGGCAAGTTCTTTCTATGAAATAGTCACAGAATGATGTGCTTTTCCATTACAGCTTTTATCCCTGCTGTAAAATTAAAGAACTTATTCATTAGGTTTCCTTGCCTCTCTGAAACTGCAAGGTCTCAGAGCAAGGTCATGCCTGTTTTTTTCTCACTATTGTCTCCTTAGTACCTGGAGTTGTACCTAGCCCATGTGTAAGCATTTATTGCAATGAAAAAGTCTCAAAACGTGCGTTATACCTCTCATCTACTTCTTCCACATGAAGTCGAGCTATATGCTTTCTTTCCTTATTTTTAAAGGGGCAGAAGATAAATGTAGGTTAGGGCCTGGACCACAAGGACTCTGATTATAGCACTAAAACACAGAGTTCTCTGTGTCCACATGACATGATGTCAAATAGAGAACCACACACCAGTTATCAATTCCAGGGGAGGATTCTGAACCCTTGTGTCCACTGCACCTTGGATCAGAGTCACCAAGGAGAGTAAGTACATTCAAATTCTGGATGGGACAACACTGATTAGTTTCAAAATTGGTGTTGGTGCTCACAGCTAATGGGTTTCTTTTGATCAGTGACATAAGGCAGTTGGCCTATACATGACACAGTTTTCCTGCTGCAGTGGAATGAACCCCTATTCTGGGAGGACAGATTTAATCTTGGGGTTGGTAAAATGCCATATACTCCACACACTTTACACAGAGACTAAAAAGTACTCATTGAGCCTGAAACAAAGGGAGATATTCCCATACATGGGTGATAAGCACAAAGGAAGGTATTTCCATACATAGGTGATAAGCCAGGCACACTCTACATGGACTCTTTAACTCTTGGTAAGGAGTGTTCCATTTTCCAAGGTCCAGTCTCATATGGCTGAGTGAAGGCTGAAAAGTGACTAGCATCTGAGATTGTCTTTTTTGACACGTAGTCTTTTAGGGTCTCTTTTTTCGTACATGCTCCTAAGAATTTCTCTTTAGATTCTTTTTTCTTCCTCTAGTTTCTCCTTTTTATATACCTGGAACTGGATAGACTCCAGAGAAAGGAAGTCTAAGCAGGAGACATCCTATTTCTGATGGGGTCTTGCCCACTTACTAGGAATGGGATCTACACTGAGATTTGGGGGCCAAAGTTTCAGCAGTAAAGCATGAAGATTTTATCTAATACCTTTCCTGTACTCCTACTTTGTTAACCACTAATAGTAATAAAAGTGTTAGCATATCAGTCTCCTCCAACTTCTGCCATGCAGACAGGCAGAAACTTCTTACCTCAGTTGTGAAGTTGTCCAAGTTGGAATGTTGGAAGTCCTGTTTGATTCTTATTTACCACATGCTCTCATTTGTTGATTCTGAATCTGACTTTTGTTATACACAATGGACCAAGCTCTTTTATTTACTTAGTGTCCAGATAGTGTTCTAATCATCCCTGGGTGTTTTGTAGTTGTGCCTCTGAGGATCACTAAGGGGAAAAATTGTCAAGGGACATGCAGGTTACTAGAGTAACACATAAGATTTCATGTTATATGCCTTTACTTTGTTCCTTTAATTGTTTTAATATATAATTACCTCAACAATGGTATTATTATCTTCAATTAGTAGGTGAAGAAATAGAGGTGGGGGTTCTGCAACACAAGTGATAGAGCTACAAATATCAGTTAATGTTGCCTTACCAAGCAACTTAGCAGGCAAACCTTTATGCCTGTTTTCCTTTGTAACATAGAAAATACATTCTTGTGAAAGTAATTGTAAAAATGAAATGAGCCAGCATTCTTAATTTCTAGGTTATACTGGAGTTTATTGTCAGTTAGGGATTATACTAAGTGCTTTACAAGCATTATTTTCTCTTAGTCTTCATAATGGACCTGTATGGTGGGTACTATTATCTTCACTCTACAAATGGAGTCTAATGATGAACAATTCATTCATAGGCATGATGTGGCAGAGCTGGCACTCACACTTGACTTGCCTCACCCAAGAGATTAGTTACTAAACTCTTCACATCCATATGTGATGGCTGGCTGCACGTGTGCACTGTCTCCTCTGCTAGCTTCATTTTCATCTTTGAGGGGTCCTAGCAAGGTGCTAGCACAGGCCATAATCAGCATTAGTTGAGTTAAATAGGAATCAAAGTGTGCAAGAAGGATGAAGGTCCCTGGAGTTCAGAAGATTGAGAAACTCAGACCAAGTGATGAAAGGCTATTCCTGAAGGATGGTAAAGACTGAGGAAGGACGCTCAAAGTGATACCAAAATTATTCAGGTGGGTAGGCAGTGCTGCAGTTGTGATAAAGCCCAGGTGGAGGCCCAGGCAGATCTGAAAATGGCCATTACGTGGGAGGGTTACATGATTCAGGATCTAATGTTCTGTTTTGAGGCTCCAGATACTTACGTTTTCTCTCTCTGTTATCTAAAATGACTAGATTTTCATGCTGACACACTAAAAGTTCAAGAAATTATTTAATAGATAGAATATTATGTAATTAAATCAACTACCTTGACTCAGACTTTCCTCTCTCTCTTTTTTCTCCACTAATTGTAATGATATAGCCATTTGAAAAAGCATAGAAAAGACAGGCTTTCACTAGATGTCCTATTTGGAGAAAATCTGTGTGAAGAGAAGGCCTGGTCATCCCAGAACAATGAAGGGTTCTGTTCATACCTGTCTAAACCTGTCCAGGGGAAGAAGTCTGATCTCACCACATTTGGTCAGATGAGCTTTATATAAGCACTTATTAAATGATAGTTGTATTTTTATATAGATGGATGAGAATGTGTCCAGCTACCCTTACTGCGAAATACTTTTTGAGATTAGTTAACTCCTCATGTTCTAGTACCATGTTTAGTCTCTGTGATCATCTGACTTCACTTAGGCTATAAGCTAGGAGAATGCTGGTCAGTGTAAGTTGAAATCAGTTTCACTTTAGTAGTTTTCTTCTTGTGAATTAATATTGACAATATGATAGCATTGCTGGAGCATTGCTATTCTGTGCTTGGTTAAAGAGAGTCTGCCTCAGAAGATAGAATGTTTTCCTTATTTGTAACATAGAAAATAGTACCTTCCTATAAAAGTAGTTGTAAAAATAAAATGAGCTAATGTACAGGGTTGGGTACAGAATAACTTCTTAATAAATGTTAGCTTTTAAGATAAAGTTTGTGAGATGCCAGGACAGGATGAAACTTTGGACTGTGGTGACTCACCAACTAGATGCTACCTAGTTATTAAGTCTAGCTTCCTAAGGTGGTATCTACTGCTTGTCTGTGGGTCATCTTGACATTGAAACAAATTGCTAATGCATATTCACAGCTATTTACATGTATTAGCTTATTCAACACTTTCTTCAAACCTAAGCAGTAGGTACTATTATTTTATAGGTGTGAAAATGAGGCACAGGGCAACTAATTTGCCCAAGTGAGAAAATACTGGCTCCCACCCCAGGAACCAGCTTTTTGACATGTTAAATTAAATGTATCTTCTCTGGGCCCTCTGGGCCCTTTCTGGTGGCTCAATGGCTTAAAGCACAGACTATGAGTCCATCAGCAGCCACTGCAGCATG